AAAAAAAAAAAAAAGTCTCTGGCCCAAAGCCTAACTTCCTGTGCTTATCTGGTTTTGGCGTCCACAGGTATGTTGTCCTGACAACAAAGCATCATGAAGGCTTCACAAACTGGCCGAGTCCTGTGTCTTGGAACTGGAATTCTATGGACGTGGGACCCCATCGTGACTTGGTTGGTGAATTGGGAACAGCCGTCCGGAAGAGGTGGGTGTCTGACCATCCCTTCTCCATGCTTGTGTCCTTTCTAAGCTTGCATTTAGTGAGTAACCCAAGGGGATTCTGGCCTTTGAATGAGCAATGTTTGGTGCTTGGTAGTTTCACATGATCAAAGGTGACACCATCCAAGGAGTTCATGACCTTGTCTGGTTAGGTGAGGACGCCCAGGCTAGACCACACTGTCCCGTTTGCATTCTTTCTAGAGGGATTTTCAACTGAGGACCTCACCACTATGTCTGATGGCAGCAAGGGCCTGGTCTTCCATCTTCATGTCCTCTTTAGTTGTCAACACTGAGCTTTGCAGACACTCAGGAAAAGTCTGGGTGAATGGTCAAGCCACAGTAGCTGAAAAGAACAGTTGAGGTAGCAAAGTGAAGTAAGGAGCCACACAGATCATTCTAATGCATACACTAGTGTTTTCCACTTAATAAGAAGTAACTTCTCAAGATCAAGGTGCCAGGAAATGACAGAGGTGGGATTTGAACCCAGGTATTCTACTTTTGGACTGTCCTCGGTTATATTTGCCTGAATAAGGAAAATATTATTTGTGCTTTGCTCAATCTCATCCCTACTGTGGTTTAATAAACTTGATGCTCTGTTGAAGGGTCGGTCAACTGTCTGCTGTGTAAATAAAGTTTGAGTGGAACACAACCATACTCATTCATTTCTGTTTTCTTTTTTTAAAGGTCTATTTATGTGTGCACACAAGAATGGGGGTGTAGGCCAGAAGGGGGTGAGAAAATTCACCAGAGACAGAGTGGGGAGCAGAACAGAAGGATCTACTGAAATACACCGCTGAGGGGAGCAGCGGGCGGGTCAGGAGAGATCTGCTGTGCCATGTGGGTCAGCTCCCAGGCCAGAGATCGAACTCATGCAGTGGCTTTTGATAGCTTCACAGTGCTGAGACTTTTACCCCTGGGTTAACACAGGGAGGCCCATTTCTGTATTTTGTGTGACTGTTTTCAAACTCTCGTTCCAAAGTTGAAATAGAAACACACGGAAATCATGCCTGGCCTTTTGAGAAAGAGCTTGTCCCCACCTGTCACCTGTCCCCTTTCAGAGCTGTGCTTTGCAAGTGGAGCTACTGTAAGATGAGATGTTGACTAGATCTGGGCTAGTCCTTGATGTTTTGCCCTCTTCCTATCTATTCACCTTCCAAGTCAGATGGTAAAATCCTTCAGTTCTTTCTGCCTTATCTGGGCTGGTGTAATGTACTTTAAGAACTTTTATAAATTTTAGATAAATGAAACACTAAACCTATATTCATTCATTTCAGTTATGTAGAAAATCCTATTAATGATTATTCCTGAGTGTTAGGATTTTGGATATTCTAGTCTTTGTACTGTCCTCTATTGCCCAATTTCTCTATAATATGTATTTTTATAATTGACAGAAAAAAAACATTTTCTAAAGAGATAGGACTATGTTATGCTGATAAGGGAGATAAAAGATGAGCTTTGTGAGTTTTTTCCTTAAGTTATTGATTTGTCAAACTGTAGTTTGTTTTTTTTTATTTTTTTTTTTATTTTTTTTTTTAAAGATTTATTTATTCATACAGAACTGGGGTACAGACCAGAGATGCGGAGGGTGAGAGGATTCACCAGGGACAGAGTGGGGAGCAGAACAGGCAGATCGACGAAGAACACTGCTGAGGGGAGCAGCGGGCGGGCCAGGAGAGGTCTGCCGCGCCATGTGGCCACCTCCGGGGCAGGCGGGAATCGAACTCATGCGGAAGTGGCTTTAGCTTCTTAGTGCTGTGCTTTAACCCGCTGCGCCACCAGGGAGGGCCCTGTAGTTTGTTTTTTAATTAAAGTTACACTGCATGATACCATAGCTTAAGTTTCAGAAGTTTAGCACTGAGAAGCAACATGTGTAGATACTACTTAAGTTCACCACAAAAAGTCCAAAACTACCCTCCACCCCATTATCATTGCCTCTGTCCTCTTTACCTTCTTCCCCTTTCCCTTCTGGGAGCCACTAAGCGGCCTCACAGTCCGAAAGTTTATTTTTTGCTTTATTTAGCTTGTAAAAAGTGCTTTCAGTGATAGTTGGTGTTAAAATATTTATGTATACAAAGTAGTTATGTGTGTTATTGAAACATGAATAACCTCATACTCTTATAAGAGGGTAATGTGCATCAAAGAGGTAATTTAAGGAAATAGTCTTGCGTCCCATCTCCCAAGTTTCACTTAGATATAAAAATGCTACAGCTGATTTTTTCTCAAAATTGATTATTTTTCTCTTCTGTCCTCTTTTCCTGTTCAAGGCACATACGCTATGGACTCTATCACTCACTCCTAGAATGGTTCCACCCACTGTACATCCTGGATAAGAAGAATAACTGCAAAACTCAGCATTTCGTCAATGCAAAAACAATGCCAGAGCTATACGACCTGGTTACCAGGTGAAAGGTTTGGACTTGCTTCCTGTGGGGCACTGTGAACTTAGTAGAATATGATGAAAATCTAGAAAACATTAAAATAGTAAAAGGGAAGTTTGTACTAAAACACCAATATATTTTTTTGCCCCACTTTTCAAAACTCCCATAATATGATTATAGTGCCTTGATAAATTGAAACAATCAGTCAAAACCAAGGATAAGAGTAAGCCAAAATGTCAATTCCTTGCATTATGTTTTCTTTGTCAGGACTTTGGAGAGGGGTGATGAGGTCTAAGGGACCCTGCAAAGAATTTGCATCAGCAGATCTGCATTTGAGCTCAGGCTCTTGTGAACTACAAGCCTGCAGTGGCTCATCCTTCCGAACCTCAGATTCTCTTTGTAAGGCAGGATGAGTAGTGGCTTACATGCCAGACTCAGAATAACATGTGAAAATTGTCTGGTACAGAAGAAGGTATCACTGTCATTCTTAAAATGATTGCTTTCACTTTGGGGTTCTCACCATATTTTATATTTTATTCCTAGTTCTCACTTCTTGTATCTGGAGTCTCGTAGAAAATGATGGACCTTTAAAGCCTAAGAGGCAGCCGTCTTTGCCTATACTCTTAGATTTAAAAAAAAAAAATTGTATTGTATCCAGATGACCATTCTAAGGAAATAATATCATTGTAAGAAACCAGCAGAACTCAGAGTCAAACAGAACTGGATCTGAAGTCCATGTTGTTTTGTTTTCTTCCTGTGTGACCCTCAACAAACTACATAATCTTTCTAGATCTCAATGTCTTTTTCGACAAACTGGGTATAGTATATACTATAAGGTCATTGTGAGAAATGGTGAGATAGTGATTGTTTGGTACTTGGAACCATTTAGGTTCACACAGAACAGACTCTGCTGTCGTGTAGACAAGCAGTGTTTTCCCCAGTTACAGCACAGGATTTGGGGTCAGGACTATCTGCATCTGAGTTCTACCTGCTCTTACTTAGCAGCTCTGTCACTTGAAACAGTTACTCTGCTGAGCTTTCTGAAATGGGAGTGGCCACACTTACCCTGTAGTGTATACAGGCACACCCTCACGTCGCAGGGCTCAGACTGGCAAGGTATAAACGGTGCGGCTGTGGTGCAGGGGGCTCACAGATGCTCTGCAGTTACAGCTTCGGGTAGTCATCCCCCAGAATGCACATGGTAGGATAGTCCAAGGTCTTAGTACCTCCTCAACATGGACTCCTATAGGGCACCACTTTATTCATGTAATTAGTTGCTGGAAGGAAACCAGTTTGTAAATACATGTGTGTGTGTGCATGTGTGTATATATACAGATTACAACTCTACTTTTTTTTTTTTTAAAGATTTATTTATTTGTTCATACAGAACTGGGGTACAGGCCAGAGGTTCAGGGGCGGCGAGAGGCTTCACCAGAGACAGAGTGGGGAGCAGAACAGGCAGATCGACGAAGTACACTGCTGAAGGGAGCAGCGGGCGGGTCAGGAGAGGTCTGCCACGCCATGTGGTCACCTCCTGGGCAGGCGGGAATCGAACTCATGAGGAAGTGGCTTTAGCTTCTCAGTGCTGTGCTTTAACCCACTGCACCACAAGGGAGGGCCACAACTCTACTTTTTTATAAGACAGTAAATTAAAGATTTGAAGGAAATATACCAAAATATTGTGTATAGAACAGTGATTATATTAACAAAGTTTGATTTTGGGGGGGGGGCAGGGGGAAGGTGTTGTGTCTGTCTTTTTAGTTTTCCACATTCTTTGCTCTGTGATAATGTTAAGGTACTCTCAAAATGGGAGAAAATTGATTTTTAACTATTTGTTGCAAAAATAGATCTGTAAAACTTGACTTTGCATGAACTCCAATGATACACATTGTGCTCACTGCTAATGGCTTGTCTTTCAGGTACAAACCTGACCTGATTTGGTCTGATGGAGAGTGGGAATGTCCCGATTCTTACTGGAACTCTACTGAGTTTCTTTCTTGGCTCTACAATGATAGTCCAGTAAAAGTATGTAACCCTGTGATTTATCTTTTACTTATGTTATTTATATTATGACAAAAGAAAGCCAAGAATCTTGAGTAGTGGCAACACTCCATAATGTCCCTCCTCTCCAGAATCCACACCATACACTTCAGGTGTCTGGCTGCCATGACAGGCTGTGTTCTGATACACTCACATGAGCTTCACAGCAGTATTAAACATTTACTTTAAGATGTTCCATGTATTGATTTCTCATAGGTTCACCAAATGTCAGAAGGAGGAAAAGTGTGTCCAACTGTTGAGTTTTCTTTACCTAGACAAAGACTGCCGGGGTTATGTAATAGAAGGTGTTTGGGACTGGTTCAAATACCCAAGTCATGGTTCCAGCTTTCCAGAACTCTGTAACCTTGAGCAGGTCTTCTCCCACTTCTCCTCTAACAGAAGAAATTATTTATTAAAGGGCCTTTCAGAAAGGCTCCTGTAGCTCTGATTCCACCCTGCACACCACTGGATAGGGGATTGTCAGCCTCTTCTGTGACTCTTGGCTTGACTGTGCTGGGGGGGCCGGGGTGGGGGGCTGCCTTGGTCTGTCTAGGGCTCAGATGTTTAACTGCGTCTCTAGCCTCTAGCCACTAGATGGCAGTAGCACCACCCCAGTTGTGGAAAATGTCTCCAGACTTGACCAAATCCTCCTCTAGTGCAAAAGGGCCCGTAGGATGCCTCTCTAAGTCAAGCCTACTCCTTGTTGCAAGCAGACTCTTGAATTGTTGAAACAGAGCTAAATGGATTGACACCTGATGATCCAATGCTTTTGGCATCTTTAGGACGAGGTAGTAGTGAATGACCGATGGGGCCAGAACTGCTCCTGCCACCATGGAGGATACTACAACTGTCAAGATAAATTCAAGCCACAGACCTTGCCGGATCACAAGTGGGAGATGTGCACCAGCATAGACAAGATGTCCTGGGGCTACCGTCGCAACATGGTGCTATCCAACCTTGCCAGTGATGTGGAGATCATTTCAGTAAGATGCCTGGGAGTTGGTTATTAGTCGCTCCTTTCTGAAACGAGCCTCGTCACAGAGCGTGGTAGCAGCATCCTAGGTGTGAGTGTCGGTCAGAGCCATTAGGGCTCTTGACTGTCCTCACAGAAACTCCCCTAAGGAGAAATTTGGTTTTTTTTAAAGTTTTATTTATTTATGCATAGAAGAGTTAGGGTGCTAGCGTGAGATGCAGGGGTGGAGAAGAGTTCCCAGAGACAGGGTGGGGAGCAGAGCAGGCAGGTGTACTGAAGTACACTGCTGAGGGGAGCAGCAAGTGAGACAGCAGAGGTCTGCTGCACGATGTGGGTCAGCTCCCTGGCCAGGGATGGAACTCGTGCTGCAGTGGCTGTAGACTTCATAGTGCTGTGCTTTAACCTGTTGTGCCACCAGGAAGGGCCTGTAAGGAGATAATTATAATTAGAGAAGAAAGCTCTGTAGACAGAGGTTTTCTTCTCAGGCCGTTTTCTATTGAATGTAGGGGTGGTTTCATTTTTTTTTTTGCCACTGTGAAGGGTAAGTAAGTAGACTGAGGAGTTTCCTTCATTATTAAAATATTCATGAATATACAGTAAGCTAATGCTTAGAGAGTTACATTTTAAAAAGTAATCTACATATTCTGGCAACCATATAAAACTAACGGCAAAAGACCAAGACTGGGAGGAAACATCCAGAGTTAGTGTGGGGTAGTTTTAGGTGACTACAGCAAACAAAGGGATTCATCTTTTTAAATGTTCTCTTGATTTCTGGTGACTGCCTTGACGTGGGTTGGTGGGAGGCGCAGTATGCCCAGAGCCCACGCCAGAGCCCGGAGAACCGTCTGTGGGCAGGACGCTTCCCCTTTCCAGCATGTGCTTATGTGGCCCCTCACGTTCTGACACTTCAGCTCTCTTCCAGCTCCCCAGAGTCTCCACAGCAGACTTGCATCTCCCCTCTCTGGCCCCGGAGTTGGCTCTATCCAGCCCCTGTGATGCCTCACGGCCCTGTGCTTTGTGCTCACCTTCTCTGCTCACCCCTGGCCGGCTGGCACCTGACTCAGCCTACCGCTTCCAACTCCCTGGAAACAGCTTCACAAGGACGTGCCCGATGGCTCCCTGAATACACGTTAACCAATTTCTCCATCTTATAGCAGATTTCTCAGTTTTCTCACGTAAACCTGTCCTGCTTTTATAATGGCAAAAATATGTAATATTTTCAAAAGGATAAAGGCTATTCACAGAGCAGGGAGATGATGTGTCTTTATTATTCTGCTTCTAATTCTCCTCTTTTTTTTTTTTAAAGATTTATTTACTTAGACATTTATTCTCCTCTTAACGGAACCATTTAGGTTCACACAGAACAGACTCTGCTGTCGTGTAGACAAGCAGTGTTTTCCCCAGTTACAGCACAGGATTTGG